TGTGTGTGTGTATGTATATATACATGTACTTGGCTGAATTGGTACCAATTGATGGTCTGAAGAAGAAACGTAAAGAGGGAGACTTCTTTACCCTTCACCCTTTCACTCCTCCTCTGCATTGAAACAATTTGTGGCTTTAGCTTTAATTCTACATTTGTAGTTGATCCCTAGTAATTATTTTCTCCGTCCAGACACTGGTAATCAAGGAAAAAGCCCTTTTCTGTGTTGGTTTAGGGAGTATCTTTCCTTCTTTTTATGTGCAAATTAAAAAAAAAAACCCAAATGTAAACTTTGAATGATAGTGCCAAATTTCTTTATGAATGGTCTGTATGTAAACACTTTGTAAGAGAAACTGCTTTGTCATCTATGTGACATTGAATTTATTTGGGTTTTTTATATATATATTTTTAGATTATTCTGAAAGAAAGAGAACAACGAAAACAGCAACACCTTTTAGAACAGACAGCAGTACCAAAAAATGAAGATAATATTTGTCAGTCTGCCGAAAATATTACTGAAGATGAAACACTTCTACAGGGTAGTCAAGCAGGTATCTTTCAAGAGAAGGCTATAAATACAGAACGGAGATAAAGATTTGAGAGTGAGCCCACGTAGTACTTTCAAAAATGTGTACCAAATACTGCCAGATGAAAACTGTAACTTCAGAATTTTCTAAGATTCAGCTGGGGCTTATCTAGAGTTTAAAGTGTGCCAAAGCTGATAGTCAGTTGAGTAATTGGGATTCTGATTACTGTTCCACACTTTTATGCCTGTTGGATTGATTATATGTCATAATAAGAGTCACTGCATCTCTCTCTGGCAATCTGTTTAAAAGGAGATACAATAAGAAAAACTAAGAGATAAAAAAATATATGACCTGTTCCCTTGCTACCACAGACTGTTGTAATACTGAAGTAGTGACTCTTCAAAAGATAGTTGACAAGTTAGTCTCTTCACAATGCTTTTTGGTCTGTCTTTTAATTGAAATGTCGTTATTTACGTGATAGCTGTTCCAGTAATGCAAGTTGCTGAAGGGCTTCTGGAGAACACAGGGATCAAGGAATCTACAGAAGGTTCTATGACTTCAAAGCAGCTAACCTCCCATCTTCCAAAAATCCATAGTAGGAATTTTAGAGAGTAAGTATTGATTGTGTTATGTCTGTTTTTACACAGTACGACCAGGCATTTTCTCAAATGAGAGTTTTTTGAGAAAAAACACTTCAGTTGTATTCTGTGCAACACTAATTGGAGATTAGACTAAAGGTCTAAATGTTTGGGGTTTTTTTTCAGTTTTTCTGTAAGCTGACACACAAACAAAGAAATTATACCCAGAGACATAGTCTGTACACTGTTGTAATTCTCAGTTCAAAATGCGTCTTTATTGAAGGGAAGAAAAGGATCAGAAATTCATCAAAGGCTAAGCAAGGAAAAGGAGCTGCTGTTAAAAGTACCTTATTTTCAATAAATAGAGTACCAGCTTAATATTGGAGAAAAAGAGTAGTAGACCTTACTTTTTTTTAGTGTGTACTTCAGTTTTCTGCTGCCAGACCAAATGGCAAAAATACAAAGAATGTGACTAGGCAGATGACATCTTCGTGTGGTGGCTAGGCAGAGAAATAAAGGGAAGATTTATGGGTTATTATGTGGAAACAGTTTTAGTTTTGCTTGAACAGATGTGTATACATGTTTCCTAATAAAAGAAGAAATAATTATTACTATATGTGAAGAGGTCAGAGATCCAGTCACAGAACCAGAGTTTAAAACGGTTACTTTAGGTAATCAGTGTTTCAGCTCTTAGTTTTCTTCCCATAAAGGCACCACTGGCCTTTTTTGCAGCTCTTGTTATAATAATGGTTAATATTGATACAGCCATTCCTTATCTTCCTGATGCTATGTTTTAGCTCTAACTTAACTTCTAATTGCATTAAAAATTACTTAATATGTGTGTATGCAACACTGTTTTACTGAAAGCAGAGTTTGTCTTGAGTATGTACAGGGCAACTCAGTCCTACCTATTATAGGATGTAGAGCATTCAGCAAAGCTTAAGAGTATTTTGTGTCTTTAGATAAGAGATTCCGTGTTTTAGTAGACTTCCAGATATCAACTGGAAATAGTAGATAAAAACTCTTGTAACTTAAATAAAACTTTGAGATAATTGAATCTCTAAGATCCAGGATAGATCTTGTGATCTCTTCTCATAATTTTATGTGAATTTGCCACTTGGCATCTTTCTGTTGACTTTGCAGTTGAGATATCTTTAGTTTTTCTCTTTGAGACCCTTCTTTACTGAACAGTTCTTTGTGTAAAAAGAAGGGGGGGACGATAATTTGGAGCCCTGATCTTTACCAAGGAATACTAGAAGGATGAAGTACCTGTTTTTATCCTTCCCTTACAAATGCCACAAGGCTGTAGTCTGATAAGTGGAATAGGATGACAGACAAAAAATATGAACCTGGGGAGGAGGAATTTGATCCAGATTTCCATCTTTGTTCACAAGTAGCCTTGTATTTATAGAAGTAAAGTAGAATTTTATACTTCTGGTTGTTGTACTTTGATTAATATGGGGTAAAATAAATGCCTTCAGAAAAATGATTCAATAGAAAAACATATGTACATATATATTTATTGGTATAAAAAATATATACACATACACATATATAGGTTTATTGTACATGTGTGTATGTATCTTGAGTATAGTTTGACAGGGGAGCCAGATACCACAAGTAACAAAACTTTCTGTAAGTTCTGAGCCACTGAAAAAAATCTGAAGTAAATTTTTGTTTGCATGTATATAACAAGTGTGATTGGAGTGGAAATAGAACAGAACTAGAGACATATGACAGAAGTTAAACTGTTTATATTTTACATATTGTATATTTATGTATTACACATTTGTAATTTTAGTGGTTTTAACATTTAATTGGTTCTTTCTTCCAGTTATTGCAGCCAGGTACTTAGTAAAGAAGTTGACAGTTGTGTGACCGATCTCTTAAAAGAACTGGTTCGTTTCCAAGATCGCTTGTATCAGAAAGACCCAGTAAAGGCCAAGATAAAACGCAGGCTTGTCATGGGTCTTAGAGAAGTTTTGAAACATCTGAAGCTGAAAAAACTGAAGTGTGTCATCATCTCTCCTAACTGTGAAAAGATTCAGTCAAAGGGTAAATAAGTTTAAAGAAAAAAATGTTTAATAAAAGCAATGTAAAAAAAGCAGACTCAGTATACTGGCAGCAGTATTATTGGAGGAACTTACTTGAGTAGCCTTTGAAATCCAGTCATACAAAGATGCCGTCCTTCTTCAGACTGTTTGCTGCTTGAGCTGAGTCAAGACTATCTGGGGTGGGGGAAGTTGTCTGAAGCTAGGATCTCTTTAGTTTTCGATTCGCAGTGCAACTGCACAAAAGATTGCACTGGCACAGCTGAGAAGAGATAAAGGTTACTGATGCTAGATGTGCCACCACAAGAATTC